ATCGTTAGTAATGTGGATTGATAATCTTATTGCTAGCAATGTACCATGTGTTAGGCTGACCTCCACGCGGTTCCTCTTGGAAACCATCGTTATAAATTCCTAGTGAATTTGACACGACGGGCCAACTGACCTGGTTTCATGTTCATCTTATCATCCTCCACTGGTGCCCCGCCAGCGTATACCGTTAGCGCAGGCAGGTGCACCATTCCAATATCACCCAAAAAAAACCCTTCCTTTGGCTAGCAATGTACCATGTCAGGTTGACCTGCACGCGGTTCCCTCTGGAAACCATCGTGATAAATTCCTGGTGAATTTGACCTGACCTCATGTTCATCTTATCATCCTCCACTGGTGCCCCGCCAGCGTATACTGTTAGCGCAGGCGGATTGCACCGTTACATTATCATCCATAAAAAAACCGTCGCCTATATACATGAACAGCACTACGGACATCACGTTATCATGTGATCTTAATACGGTAGAGATCTGAAGGACTACGAGGTCCGGTCTCCATACACTGTAATTTCACAGGTCATATTTCTCAACAAACTGCCTATAAACTCGTGTTCTCCTGGTACTTTTAATGTAGTTTTGCTACATTTTTTGTTACAAGCTGACGTGCCACCTGATGGTAAGTGGTAACCGTCACCTATATACATGAACAGCACTACAGACATCACGTTATCATGTGATCTTAATACGGTAGAGATCTGAAGGACTACGAGGTCCGGTCTCCATACACTTTAATTTCACAGGTCATATCTCTCAACAAACTGCCTATAAACTCATGTTCTCCTGGTACTTTTAATGTAGTTTTGCTACATTTTTTGTTACAAGCTGACGTGCCACCTGATGGTAAGTGGTGACCGTCGCCATACATGAACAGTACTACGGACATCACGTTATCATGTGACCTTAATACGGTGGAGATCTGAAGGACTATGAGGTCCGGTCTCCATACACTGTAATTTCACAGGTCATCTCTCAACAAACTGCCTATAAACTCATGTTGTCCTGGTACTTTTAATGTAGTTTCGTTACATTTTTTGTTATTGTAATGCAAACAAGCTGACGTGGCACCCGATGGTAAGTGGTAACAGTCACCTATATACATGAACAGCACTACAGACATCACGTTATCATGTGACCTTAATACGGTGGAGATCTGAAGGACTACGAGGTCCGGTCTTCATACACTTTAATTTCACAGGATATCTCTCAACAAACTGCCTATAAACTCATGTTCTCCTAGTACTTTTAATGTAGTTTCGTTACATTTTTTTGTCATTATAATGCCAAACAAGCTGAATTTCCTTCCTCTTGAATCAGTCTATTTGTTAAAAAAAACCACTTCAAAATATGTTGCGTAGTTTTAAAGATTTAAGCATACATAGGGACGGACAGCGACAGCGACTTTGTTTTATACTATGTAATGACTAGTATATAATGTGTACTTATAAAAAACATTCCCTCTTATGGACGTACCACCCGATGGTAAGTGGCAACCGTCGCCTATATACATGAACAGCACGTTATCATGTGACACTCGTGATACCACTCACGCGTCGTCATTCCAGAGTACTAACATGTCACGCCTCTTATCCTGTAATTGCACTGCCTAATCTGCACCCTATAACCGAAATTCAATTTCCAATTCAAAATATCTTTATTCATGTAGGTCTATTACAGACTCTTATGATATGTCAAGTCTACCGTCAGTTCGGAATGATTTCGAACTGACAAGAAACTCAGCTCGTATGCTTTTCAAATAAATGTTGTACCTACATGTTTACAATAATACTCAGTCATTAAAACTAAAATTCAAATTCAAATCACCAGAAACATCTTACAAAGCAAACTGCTTGGCTGAAATAGGTGAGACTGAGGTACACACGCAGACGAGTTGTTACAAAGTTTGAATAATAAAAATTAAACAATTATGTAATTACTTCCAAATATAATTTAATTAAATGCCCTCTTTTTATTTTCCAATATTTTATCATTTTTCCATTTAATTTAATACCAAATTACGTCACATTTATTTAAAAAAAAAACAGTATGGTTATAATTTAATTATCGAATAATGTTTGTGATATTTATACAAAAGGCAAAGGAAATAATTTATACGAATTAAAAATCACAGAATAAAAAAGCGAATCGGATTTGGCGGGAATGAATTTTGAATATCGAATTTCTTTAAGCCTAAATTACATTGCGCAATAATTACTTTAAAAAGCTAATTTGAATTTAATTTGTTATTAATTTCAACAACACTTATATGAAAATTTGGTCTTCAGTATGTAAATTAATCTTTATTTCGTGATCAGTCAGAGCTAGACTCAAATGTGAGAAAGTTCGTCTTCCATATTCAACCGACCGAGAATTGAACCCGGAAGTGAGAGAAACCAGCGAAATCTCTCTTACGATCTTAGTCTGTTTAGAACTGCAGTAAGTTGTATACTAAAACATGTATCTGAAGCTACACTAGCAGGTTTCTACCAGATTTGTGTGGTCAGGGAGAGAAACACGAGCTGTGAAGGTGAGTGTTGATGTACCTCGGCAAGATCTTAAACCTACACCCGGGAACTGGGAGAAGTTTCTCTCTGCCACACGATGGACCCAGCACCTGCACCATGAATTCATGCAATGCTAAAAAATTCGTCCCTATAACCAAATAGGTAATAATAGAAATACTGTCAAATTATTAAATTTTAATAGCCAATGTCGTTCTAATAGTGTATAAGTTTTGTTGGTTATCATTCGTTGAAAAAATATGGCGCGCTTCCTTCCAGCCAATCAGAAACGAGCTGTCAAAGAATTTACATTTATTCAAATAAAATCAACTGCAATAATCTTTAATTTAGACATCTTTCTCGTTTTTTACACTAAACTTGATGTAACACAATTAGAGATTATCTGACGAATTAAAAAATTAACTGAATTTCAAAATTGACTTGACGTTTCGCAATGTAAATTAGGCTTCAAACATTTAAAACATACAGGGATCGCATGTTTGCTGACATGGACTTGGACAGGGGGGCGGACACGGCTGCGGGCAGGGGGGCGGGCAGGGGGATGGACAGGGGGTCTCGCAGGGAGGGGGACACGGCTGCGGGCTTGGACACGGGCAGACTTGTGGGGTGTAGACCGTCGCTGGTCCCGAGCAGGGGGGGCAGGGCCTGTTGATGCTGATGGAAGGTGATCTGATGGTCGGTTCGCTTGGATCGCTGAAGCAGATAGTAGACCCGTCGCAGGTTTTTATGCAGCGCCACGGTGCTGCCGCTGCGTAGCTGATTAGCGCTGTAATACATTCTATATTACTGCTTCTTCCTTCTTCCTTATACCATTTTTTTTATAACATAGGGAACAAACAAGCGGCTCACCTGATGCTTACCATGAGCACCCGCAAAACCACGGAAATTGCCAGTAAGTTGTCAGCCATTAAAAAGGAATAAGTTCTTTTCTTGAAGTTTTCAATATCGTATCGGTCCATTTATTTGTGGTCGGCGTAATATTTTTTCTTACATTCATCTCTGATTGTAGCCATCTTGTTATTTACTAATAGATACTAAATTACCTCTGGAACTCTCCATTCGATCAGCTCCAACACAATCATGATTTGAATTTATCATGTGTATGATTATTTGTATCATTGGTTCCTATATAATATGTATATATTTACGAAAAAAATATATTTACGTATATGTATCAGTTGTCTAGTACCCATAACACAAGCTTTAGCTATCTTAACTTGGGTCTAGATGGCGCTGTGTGAATTGTCCTGAGATTATTATTATTATTCTACTCGAATAAACTTCTTAATTTGAACTGATTAATTTTTAAAATCAATTTTTTATTAACGAATTTTTTTATTAACATTTTGATGTTAAAAATCAAAGCAAGAAACTGCTAGTAAAAAAAAACCTTACCAAAAACCAACAGTAGTGTCTTGCCCATGTCGCCGCTTCTCAAGTACCTACTTTTTATGAATTATAACCGTTATATATATACAATTAATTAATTATATATATGCTTAATCAACTGACATACAACTAAGTTTCACGGTTAATCATACAAGGTTATAGAAACATATGATTCATTCTATATTCATAGACAAAATCAATTTCTTTTTCAAAATTCAAATTCAGAATATCTTTATTCATGTAGGTCTATTACAGACTCTTATGATATGTCAAATCTACCGTCAGGTCGGAATGATTTCGTAATGAGAAGAACTGACAAAAAACTCAGCTCGTATTCTTTTCAAATAAATGTTGTACATGTTTACAATAATACAGATTCATTTTTAAATGAAATTTTATGTTTTATTTTATTTTAAAAACCAAGTTAGGATAGTTAACATATGCATCCCAAAGGATGACTCCTAGAGAATTCTATAGCATAAAGTCCATCTTTTGTACCAATTTTAGAAATTAATAAAGCAGTACCAATAACGAAATATAACGTTTATAAAAGGCCGGAGACCTTTTTCAATCTATACATATAAATAAAATTGGAGTGTCTGTTTGTAATACTGAAATAATATTTTTTACTACATACATATGTATCTAAATACGGTACATTGTCGTACACCAAAATGAGATTTTTTACAATTTTTCTCCATCTGTCTATTTGTTTGTTCCGGCTAATCTCTAAAATGGCTGGATCGATTTTGATTGGACTTTTTTAGGCAGGTAGCTGATGTAATAAGGAGTAACTTGGCTACTTTTATTTTAGAAAAATAAAGTTAAATTCCACGCGGACGAAATCGCGAATACAGCTAGTATTATATAGAAATTTAAGAAGAAATGCATGTAAATTTCATTGTTAAGTGAATCTAATTTTTTTTAAATACATTCTTATTAAACTATGGTCAAATGGTTGCAAATCAAACAAATTATGATATTATAAACATTTCTAGTTAAAGTGACTGAAGTTAGTTGTAATATTTCGGGTATATATACTGTACACATACATACTAATTCACAATTGGCCGTCGATATGGGGCGATTAACGGCGTTGGGTATTATTGGTAATATTTATATTTTATCGTAATTATCTTTCACACAATCCATCTATCTTTTTATATGGATTTCTCTTCTTATGTTTTCTGTACATTATCTTTCACACAGTCCATCCATCTTTTTTCGGTCCTCTCTTTTGATTGATGGAAATCAATCCAATATTCGTTATTGCGGCTTTGATAATATTTTGTTTCCTATGAACTTCCTATTTTTTATCCAAATTATCTTTCACACAGTCCATCTATCTTTTTTCCGTCATCCACTCTCTTTCCATCAATCTATTCTAATATTATAAAGCTGAAGAGTTAGTTTGTTTGTTTGTTTGAACGCACTCATCTCAGGAATTACTGGGTCGAATTTAAAAATTCTTTTTGTGTTGGATAGTCAATTTGTCGAGGAAGGTTCTAAGCTAAGCTGCAATGAAAAATATTGCTAAAGGTGGGGAAATGAAACGCAGACGAAGCTGTGCGGGTCAGCTAGTCCAATATAATTATCATTTTCGATATTTCGGCGTTGGGTATAATAGGTAATGTTTTGTTTTCTATGTACTTCTCATTTTCTATCCAACTTATTATGCCATCATCGTCGTCGATCTCACATTGTATTTTACTGATAAAGGCTATAACAGAATAGCAGAGAGGGTGGACTCACCGCCCTCACTGAGTTATAGACCGTTTTGTCTCATTCATTAGTTTTAAATTATATTATTCTATGGGCAACAGTTGTATTGTGTGAAAAGTTTTTGTTTGAGACAAATAAAGATTATTATTATTGTTATCTTTCACACAGTCCATCCATCTTTTTTCGGTCATTCTTTCTCTTTCCATCAAACCAATATAATAATATTATTATTTCCGGTTTTTCGGTATTAGGTATTGTTGTAATATTTATGAGGGTAAATGATTTATCATGTATATGTGTGTGCATTGATAATAAATTCAGTCTTGGTCGAACTTGCATTTGCATTAATTAAATAATAATAATAATACAATTATTGTGCATAAAAAATGTATTAAACGAATTTAATACAGAAATATTCGACTAAGTGGCGCTGTGTGGATTGTCTTCTTCTTTAAAAAGAAAAGGTGAAGAGGAAGACCTTACAGAAGATAGATGATTTCAAAGTGGTGGTAGGTGGTACTTGGGTAGGAACTGCTAACAATAGAGACCACTAGAGAAAGAGGAGGACTATGCTTGTTAGCAAATATATATAGATATACATATTCAAATTCTAAATATCTTTATTCATGTAGGTCTATTACAGTCTCTTATGATATGTCAAATCTACCGTCAGTTCGGAATGACTTCGAGATGAGAAGAACTGACCAGAAACTCAGCTTGTATTAATACAGATTTGGGAAAATAGAGTGACCACCAGCATATGCTATTGCAAAAGCAAAATGTCTAATCAGTGTTCGTAACCTGAACAGACCGGTTCCCACAGCACCCGTTCACGAGTAAGACGGATGACCCAGCCATTATCACTCAACCATATTACAGCAAGCACTATGACCTGGCCCGTATAGCTGAAAATGTAAAATTTGAATAAAGGCTTTATTATTAATATTGTTTACAGCGTTACTATCATCAGCATTAGCAGCACCGGCGCCGCAGTTCTGTCAGCCTCCATGTCCCAGCCTGTGTCCCTGTCCGCCCCCGCCGTGCCCCTGTCCCTGCCCGCCGCCGTGCGACGGTCCTAGTAAGTATAACAATCCTTACTAATATTATAAATGCAAAAGTAACTCTGTCTGTCTATCTGTATGCATGTCGCGCCTTCATTACTGTATTTCCGAATACGATACTGAAGCCTTCAAGAAAAGCGTTCATTCCTTCTTAAAAGGCCGGGGGCGCACTTACAATTCCTCTGGTGTTTTTCACAATTCCACGAGAAACCTCCTCTTACAATAAGAAAAATAATCAATATAGGTTCAAGTAGAGAAAATTATATTACCTCAGACTTTTTTCTACTTGAATATATACGAAAATACGTGTCGAATGGAGAACCATTTTTTTAGAGTAGGTTCAAAACTATTGGCTACTAGGCATGACATCTTAGTCACCTGGCAGCATATGAGTCGTCACGGACGCTGTATGGACCGTAGTGCTGTTCATGTAAATAGGCGACGGTTACCTCTTCAGGTGGGTAGTAAGTTTGTTTACAATTTAATACCAAATTCCATTAAAAATGCATCATTATTTACAGCGACCTGTGGTGATGGACCAGTCCGCACGCTACTCCAAAAGAATTGCATTCCGGAGCGTCTAAAATCCATTGGCTTCCAAGAAATACCGGTACCAGGCGGCACCTTCTACATCCAATCCTCTCCTGACGTGATAATCCAGCCGCCCTCCATTCTGGTGCGACCGAAGCGGCCCCAACCCATCACACCACCGTCCATCATCGTCAGACCACCACCTCTCTCACCTATAACACCAAGACCTATTGTGGTCCGCCCCGCACCGTTGCCTCCAATAAATCCGCCTCCAATGATGGTGAGACCACCACCGTTAGCGCCAATTAGGCCTCCGCCAGTGGTAGTTCGACCACCGCGACCATGTCCAATCCAGCCACCGCCAATATACATCAACCCACCTGCATTACCGGAGATCAATCCTCCCCCAATTTACGTCCGACCACCAGCGCCAGCTTGCATCCAACCGCCGACAATCTGCTTCCCCATGAGTGCTTTACAACAATCCTCTCCCTGCCCACCACCCTGCCCACAACCGTCGCCGTGTCCATGTGAAGATCCTTGCCAATCATGTTACTAAAGCCTCAATCCATCAGTATTACTGAAATAATAAGTTATGATATCTGAACGACGTTCCACAAAGACCGACTTATGGAAGTCAAACCATCCCGCTTCTTCGGACTTTCTTCAAGCAACCGAACATCTACCCCAGGCAACGGCCTGCAATGATCCACTTGGAAATCCTTGGATTTAATAGACTACGAACCTAGGTAGGCTGGTGCAGGTACAACTTGGTAAAATAGGGAGTCTTGAGACTGCGGGGCACCAAACTATGACCCACCTACTTATCTTATCCTTTACGCGCATCAGCGACCGAATGCGCTAAAGTTGTCGCAATCTTCTGGGGTTGCAATTCAACCAAAATAAGAAGACGAAGATATCAGAAGACCATCAATAACTAAGCAGTTAACTAGGTTACAAATAACACGATAATTTTAACTGAATAATCAAGAATATGCCTCAAGATTATAAGTTAACTGGATTTAAAGACTTTGCGAGTTTGTCAACTTACAATTTATAATATTTAAGTTAATTTAAATGTTATTTATAGACATTCCAACTTGGTCATTGAAAGTGAATGTTTAACAAACATCACTGATCGTGAAGTTTCAGATTAAAAGGCCCAAAAGTTGAGCACATCTTCAGAGGCCAGCATTTACAGCATATATTTACTCCAATTCTATTTGCACACTCTTAGAAAATGTTTATCAATAACAATCTGATGAACACCCAAAAGGACTGTTCCCTTCCAATTTGCATCGTCAAATAAACTATGCATTCTGTGACAGATATCAGAACTATCAGATTTCCTGGCTGGAAATATCTGTTAGTGTCCAGATTTAACAGTTTTATGTATATATGCAAGCATAACATCAAATGCTAATACAATTAATGGATTTATAAGAAGCATTAGACCCAGTTGCAATTGCTCTGATTTTGCGATGATGAACTGAATTTTCGGTGATGAATGTTATGAATGATTTGGATATCAAATAATTATTGTTTCATAATACTGTAATATAATTAAATTAATAAGATCTCTGTTAAACGATATAACTATTGACTTATGGCTTAATTTGAAAGGACGTTGAATATTTTAGTTTAAACAGTACCCGTGTATATTCTATGTTGATTTTAAGTTTTACAAATGTAACTTAAGTTTTGTATATCTATATATTGGGTAATATATTATTAATAGTATTTATTATGTGATAAATATATATGTAAATATTAAGAAAGTGTTTCTTTATCAACTTTTAAGATAAGTAGAGCACACTCGGATGCGTTTGTCAGTTTTATAGTAGTTTTATGTACTAGCTACTCGCCCCGGTTTTGCATGGGTGTACATGTATAATATATAGTTATTAGAGATGCGTTTGGGACTAGATGGCACTAGATATTTACCATTTAACAGGAGAAAGGTCAGGTTACTTGCCATTTCAGTTATAAAAAAATATGTATTTTAACTGTGCCTAGTCTGTATTTATTAGTACTATTACTAGACTTTAAAAAAGATTTGATTAGAAATGAAACTGAGGAAGAGAGATTGATGCGGGAGAATACAAGGAGAGATGTTAGGGGTAACTTGTTTTCTAGTTTGTTCTCGCGCTGCTCACTTCCCTGCCCACTCGGGCTGAGTGTAAATTGGGCTTCTTACCTGTCCACTCGGGCTGAGTGTTCAAAGTTCAAACACAATTGTATTATTCACTCAATTTGCCAGAAAAAAGAAAGATTTTTGTGTCTTATAAAATATTTTCTTCGCAAAAAAGCTTAATATAAAATAGAAGAATTTATGTTTTTCTAGAAAATAAACTTAAAATTCATAGCGCTGACAATGTTACCTTATTGAACAGAGATTAAGTGCGTAGCGGTTTCCATGTTGATTGTCGTATGCCTAATCCTTGTTAATGTAAATCCAATTAAAACAATATTTATTTAAAATAGCAACACACATGTTTCTTGCTCATTCTTCTTTTGATGAGTCTGCGTTCCGTATGAATGGTAGAATCAAACAAATTTGACTATTCAATAGAGCTTATATAACAAAAGTGTAGTACAATACGGTTTCAGAGGAGCTTCCTCCCGCGTACACTTAGATTGTGGAATGAACTACCTGCCGGGGTTTTCCGGAGGAATTGTTCAACATAATGCCGACAGCCACCTTTTACCACCGCACCGCTCGCCATCGACAGGGAATTCATCCCCACACACTGGAACCTAAGTGGTCCCGAACAGTGCGGTTTCAGAGGAGTTTCCTCCCGCGTACACTTAGATTATGGAATGAACTTCCTGCCGAGGTTTTCCCACGAGACTACAGCATGGGGTTTTTCAAGAAGGGTATATTAAGGTTTCTTAAGGGTCGGCAACGCGCACGTGACACCCCTGGCGTCCATAGGCTACGGTAACCGTTTACCATCAGATGGGCCGTATGCTTTGTCACCATCGTAATATAAAAAAGGAAGATTATTTCTATTTCTATTGTTTTATGAATAAACTAGCTGGACCCGCGACTTCGTTCGCGTGGAACTTAACTTTATTTTTATAAAAGAAAAGTAACCTAAGTTACTCCTTATTACCTTAGCTACCTACCAAAAAAAGTCCAGTCAAAATCGGTCCAGCCATTTCAGAGATTAGCCGGAACAAACAGACAGACAGACAGACAAAAATTGTAAAAAATAAGTAAAAGGCGATTATTTCAATATTACAAACAGACACTCCAATTTATATGTATAGATTATTTCTATTTCTATTGTTTTATGAATAAATATCTATGACTATGAATTTTTTTATTTTTTTTTTTATTGGGTGGTTTGGGCTATTGTCAGATGTTTGTAGCACCTGTAGCACTGCGACCTACATAGATCTATTGTGCTCGCCCTTTTTCAAAGTTCCCGTCAGGGACAAGAATTGAAGGATATTCTTAGGAGCGATGGTTTTTATCTCCTCAGGATAGAGTGTAAACTTTCCAAAGGAGATATTTCGTTTATGCATGAGTGGGCTACAACCACATAGGATGTGTAGCGGCGTTTCCTCTTCAGTTTGGCAGAATCTGCAGATACTTGTCGTGCACAGGCCTACGTACGCTATGGTAACAAGCAACTGTTACCTAACACTGTGCTAGTTTACTTACTAGTGTGCTAGTGTGTACTTTTTCTTTGATATCAATGTCAGCACGTACGTCACACACAAACTTGGTAACTAACGAACTGTGTGCGTACGTGATCCGGTTTACACGAATAGTTTCACAAACTTGTGAAATTTACCCTCCAACCTGGGAAGGCTAAGGTTTTTTTATGGCCATTTACCACCAGTTCGTCTTATTTGTTTACCGCTACAGTTATATAGAAATAGCTGTTTTGTTAAAATCTGCTCTGGTCAGGTGTTCCATAGGAATTTTAGGTATAATGTTAGTTAAAATTAAATTAAAATTTTTATATTTATACACATATATATAATTAAAAAATATATATATATATACATATATCTAAATATATATAACTCAAAAGACTGACATAGTGATCTATCAACGCACAGCCCAAACCACTGGACGGATCGGGCTGAAATTTGGCATGCAGGTAGATGTTATGACGTAGGCATCCGCTAAGAAAGGATTTTGATTAATTCTACCCCCAAGGGGATAAGATGAAGGATGAAAGTTTGTATGAAACTTTGTGAATTTTAAATCGATCGGGCTGAGACTTTGCATGCATAAAGCTGCTATGACGTAGGCGTCTCCTACGAAAGGATTTTGTTAAATAGCACCCCAAAGGGGATAAGTTAACGCGAGCGAAGCCGCGGGCAAAAGCTAGTCATTTATAATATGATGTATATTATAGATGACTAGCTTTTTATTCTCAACCAACAATATCGCATCATTACCCGCAACAGATGTACATTCTCTTTGAAGTACAAATCATACATCATTATGTATGTCAACTACTAAAAGATTCATCATCATCATCATCATCATACCATACATAGGACATAGGCCTCCCCCAAAGATCTCCACGACGATCGGTCCTGCGCTGTTCGCATCCAATGCCTTCCAGCGATCTTGACGTCCCCTTGCTGGACGCCTTCCCACGCTGCGTCTTCCGGTCCACTGTACTCCCTTCCAATTTGTTATATTGAGGTTGGATATGCATATATACATATATTCAATTTCTTTATATTCATTTTATTAATCAACTGTAGGCATTCAAATTCAAAATATCTTTATTCATGTAGGTCTATTACAGACTCTTATGATATGTCAAATCTACCGTCAGTTCGGAATGATTTCAAGATGAGAAGAACTGACAAGAAACTCAGCTCGTATTCAAAATATCTTTATTCATGTAGGTCTATTACAGACTCTTATCATATGTCAAATCTACCGTCAGTTCGGAATGATTTCGAGATGAGAACAACTGACAAGAAACTCAGCTAGTATTCAAAATATCTTTATTCATGTAGGTCTATTACAGACTCTTATGATATGTCAAATCTACCGTCAGTTCGGAATGATTTCGAGATGAGAAGAACTGACAAGAAACTCAGCTCGTATTTTTTTTTAAATGTACATATTTACATTAATACAGATTCATTTAAATTCAAATTTGGGAGAATAGAGTGACCACCAGCATATACTATATAAAAAAAAATCAAAAAATCTAATCAGTGTTAGCAACCTGAACAGACCAGTCCCCACAAGCATTCAATTTTATTATCAGTCATCCAAAACTCGTTACAGACAAACACACAGAACTATTTGGCAGTGCAACCCTTCGATAAAGTTATTCATTATTAAAACAAGCGTAAAATAAGTTTCTTAACGGCGCAGTTCATAATATAAATGGGTTTATTGCTTTAATAAATAAGAATTCAGATTCTGGTGCCAAAACGGAACTTTCCCCTTTCCACTGCAGCCTCCCACAGACCTTCTATTAAACAACTGAAAGGAAGAAAAAAAATTTTTTTGGCGCATACAAAACAATCATATGACATATTACAAAAATTATAACTATGTAACTAGCTGTTCCCGCGACTTCTAGTATTAAAATGGGTGTTCCTCAGGGCTCTATTCTAGGTCCTTTCTTATTTTTAGTTTACATAAACGATCTTCCTTATATGGTAGGAAAGATAGCTGACATAGTTCTGTTTGCTGATGATACTTCATTAGTATTCAAAGTCAATCGACATATTGATGATATGGACGAAGTAAACGGTTCTCTCTCTTATGTTTTAAAATGGTTTACGGCAAATAATATGCTACTAAATGCAAATAAAACTAAATGTATCAAATTTACTCTCCCCAATGTAAGGCCGGTAGATTCAAAAATCGTATTGGACAATAAATCTATTAATTTTGTTGACGATACTGTATTTCTAGGTATCACATTAGATTCCAAGTTGCAATGGGGTGCTCATATTACTAAATTGGCGAGTCGACTTAGTTCTGCCGCTTATGCGGTAAGAAGAATTAGACAATTAACAGACGTGGCAACGGCTAAACTTGTCTATTTTAGCTATTTCCATAGCATTATGTCGTATGATATTTTGTTATGGGACAAAGCAGCTGATATAAATACAATATTTACTTTACAAAAGAGGGCCATTCGCTCCATTTATGGTATGGGTTCCAGGGAGTCATTGCGAGAGTGTTTTAAGGAATCAAATATCCTCACCGTTGCTTCTCAATACATTTATGAAAATATCATCTATGCCAGAAGGAATATAGACAGTTTCAAAAAGTTAGTGATTGCACTAATAAAAGCTTACGTAACAATAACAAACTGATTTTACCTAAATGTCGTTTGGCTAAAGTTAGTAATTCGTTTTATGGCAATTGCGTAAGGTTTTACAATAAAATACCAGAGTCTGTTATAAATCTGCCAGAAAAAAGATTTAAATGTCAAATAAAACAGTTCCTTTGCAAAAAAGCTTACTATAAAATTGAAGAATTCGTTAACGATAATAATGTTTGGTATATATTTTATATAAAAATACTAATATTTTTATATATTTGCATCTGTATATATATGTACTATTTTTCTGTATCTATTTGTTATAATTTTTGTTTTTCTTTTTTTTTTCAATTAATTATTAAAGTGCACCGCCTTATTATCTCTGATCAACGCGACGGTTGACTGGTACAGAATGCCATAAGGCATTAAGTCCGACATGTATACATTTTTGTGTGCAAAAGAATAAATAAATAAATAAATAAATGTTTTTATAGAAAAACTTTAAATCTATAGCACTGACAATATTATCTGATTACATTAATAATGAGTGCGTAGCGACTACTATGTTGATTATCGCATGCCTCTTACTTGTTATACTGTAATTATTTATATAAAAAAAAACATCTATTAAAAAGAGCAACACACAAGTTTCTTGCTCATTCTTCTTGTGATGAATCTGCATTCCGAATGAGTGGTAGAATCAAAATATGACTATTCAAAAGTGCTTGTAATGAGTTTATTTGAATAAAGATTATTTCTATTTCTATTTCTATTTCTTCGTCCACATGGAATTTAACATTATTTTTCTAAAATAACAGTAGCTTAAAGAACTGAAAATTATTTTGTTGGTCTTAATTTATTCGTTCCATTAGGTACTGATAGGTTCAAACTAATACATTTACATCCTGCATCATCCCTTATTTTATCCCCATGGGGGTTGAATTTATCAAAATCCTATTTAAGCGAACGTCTTCATCATAGTAGCTCCAATCTTTAATTTCAGTTCAATCAGCCGAAAATTGAAGAAGGTTTATACAAACTGTCATCCCCTATAGGTGGAATTTGTCAAAATCCTTTCTTAGGGGATGCCTACGTCATAATAGCTTTATGCATGCAAAGTCTCAGCTCGATCGGTTAAAATTGACAAAGTTTCATACAAACTTTCATCACCTATTTTATCCCCTTGGGGGTAGAATTAATCAAAATCCTTTCTTAGCGGATGCCTACATCAAAACATTTATCTGCATGCCAAATTTCAGCCCGATCCGTCCAGAGGTTTGAACTGTGCGTTGATAGATCACTATGTCAGTCACCTTTGAGTTATATATATTTATATTTCAAAATTGACAATTAAAATGGAACAAAGCATAAAATATTTAAAATGTATATATAAAAAAATATAATAAAAATCTAAAAAGTTGCGTCGTGCACAATCACTATTCCACGCAGACAGAGTCGCGGGCGTAACTAGTTATTTCATATGTATGTTAGTCTATTAGTCTATAAAATATTTATAATATGGGTCATTAGTATCCTGAATTAAATAATAAATAAACTGCAACCGTCGCCTATTTTCATGAACAGCACCATGATTATCACGTTATCATGTGAGGTATCACACCGTGATATCACTCATTCATTGCAATTTCAGAGGACAAAGATGTCACGCCTCTTATCCTGTAATTTCACTTCCAAATCTGCACCCTACAACCAAAACAGCTTACAAAGCAAGCTGCTTGGCCGAAATAGGTGACACTGACGTACACACGCAGACGAGTTTGTACTAAGTCTATTTCGAACATTATATTTTCGAATTTTAGACTTTAATTGTACAGTAATAAAATACACTAAATATTTTACATTACAATAAATTTTCAATTAAACTAAACATCATCATCAGCTTCATCCTTATCCCATTTATTTGGGGTCGGCGTAATATGTTTTTCGCTTCCATTCATCCCTGTTCGCAGTCATCGCGTTATTTACTCCCTTTCTTACCATATCATATTTCACACAGTTCATCCATCTCTTTTTCGGCCTTCCTCTGCCCTTATAACCATCCACATTGATTTGTAACACCTTTCTTAAAATATTATCCTCGTTCAATTAAACTAAACAATGTATATTTATATCTGTCGGGCGGCCCTTTTCGTTCATTCTTATATTTATTGTACAAAAAGTTATGCCAAGAAAATTGCCCATCGTTTAGAATGTCCCAATATTACAATTGAATTTTTAACAACATAATGACAATCACAAAGAATACCACATAATTCATACAGCTATAAAGTTTCCCCAGCGACAGGAAACGAACACCGTAAAAAAGGAATAAAAAAGTTTTTATACTGATGCCACGAGTCGAGGGACGCGTGTTTGGGTATATTTAACGGTTTTTAAAAGGAAAACCATTGATGGAGACGCCCATCAAAAATTGGACATTACATAGTAGGCAGTCACACATAAGTCATTCACTACACTAATACATATCATGTGGGAAAAAATAGGGCACATACATAAATATTTTCTAATCTAATATCATGTAGAGAAAATATTTGATATTTTATTTGAATGGAATAATAATAATTATAACAACCTTTGACAATTCACTCAGCGCTAGTCTTAAGCTAAGCAAAGCTTGTGTTATGGGTACTAGACAACTGATATAAATAAATAAATAACCCTGGACATTTAACACAGCGCCAACTAGTCCCACGGTAAGCAGAGCTTGTGTTATGGGTACTAGACAACTGATATAAATAAATAAATAACCCTGGACAATTAACACAGCGCCATCTAGTCCCACGGTAAGCAGAGCTTGTGTTATGGGTACTAGACAACTGCTATAAATAAATAAATAACCCTGGACAATTAACACAGCGCCATCTAGTCCCACGGTAAGCAAAGCTTGTGTTATGGGTACTAGACAACTGATATAAATAAATAAATAACCCTGGACAATTAACACAGCGCCATCTAGTCCCACGGTAAGCAGAGTTTGTGTTATGGGTACTAGACAACTGATATAAATAAATAAATAACCCTGGACAATTAACACAGCGCCATCTAGTCCCACGGTAAGCAGAGTTTGCGTTATGGGTACTAGACAACTGATATAAATAAATAAATAACCCTGGACAATTAACACTGCGTCATCTAGTCCCACGGTAAGCAGAGTTTGTGTTATGGGTACTAGACAACTGATATAAATAAATAAATAACCCTGGACAATTAACACAGCGCCATCTAGTCCCACGGTAAGCAGAGCTTGTGATATGGGTACTAGACAACTGGTTTGGTGTTAAGTTCGCCATATGTACATATATATATATATATTGTATTTGTGCATTAAAATTTTAATTACATAAATAAATAAAATTATATTGTCTGTGAAAATGAGTTACTCGAGTTAGTGAAATAAAAATTGGCGAGGAGAATAAAATGTGTTTTGAAATTTGTAGGTTATGTTTTTTGAGACAGAATCGTCGAGTATTAGATATATTTTCATATAAAAACATTATTTAACTTGTAACATCAAAACTGTAACATATATTATTACATTATTATTATCACGAAATCATATAACGGAACGTCTTTGTTTTAAATATTTAAAACGGTTCTAGAAACAAACATAATCCGTGTGCATCGTAGCATTATAAATTGAAACATTATTTTTTTAATTGTTATAATATTTTTTTTTATAATTTCTTTTTTTTTCGCGATAATTTGATTCAGCAATGCCAACGGAACATACATCTATAAATAGGTGATTTCGTTGTTGGAATAACCAGACGACCACAAGATGGCGCGGGGCAAAGTGATATGGTTATCCGGTAAGATTTTTTTTTAATTAATACTTGAGCTTAGATGATGTGTGTATACTGCCAAATTGCTTCTTCCGTCGACTCAATTCTTCGGAGACCAGCAAGATGGAGGACAGCAGTCCTTATGTTGTTCCCATCCCTCCGCAAGGGTCAGAGGCTTTTTTTAATACCACCTACGGCAAACAAGCATACATCTTATGGTAAACAATTACCGTAGCCTATAGACGACTATCCGGTAAGATATATTTTTTTTAAATAATATTAGAGCTTAGAGGAGGTTTGTATACTGCCAAATTGCTTCTTCCGCTAACTCAATCTTTTGGACACGAGCAAGGAGAAGGAGGGATGATATTTCCGTCTCTCCGTAAGGGCGGTTTTTTTTTATACCGTGTAGGTGGCAAACAAGCATACGGCCCATCTGATGGTAAGCGGTTATCGTAGCCTATATACGCCTGAAACACAAGGGGTGTCACGTGCGCGTTGCCGACCCTTAAGAAACCTTAATACAATAATTCCAGTACTTCTCAACTGAGGTAGCTATCTGAACTGGATGGTAGGGTTACGGATAGAACGAATGGACATGTTTTATATGAATAAATGATTTAAAGTTAGAATTATTGCACTTTGGTCTGTTAACAGTGTTATATTCATCAGAGAGTCAATACATATAAATTAAAACACAAATGGTGTCTTTAGGATTCGAATCTACCACTTTAATGATATAAGATAGAGTAGTAAACCACTACTAAATATATTATCACACAAATTTGGTGTCTTTCGAATTCAAACCTACGACTATTACGATACAAAATAGAGTTGCAAACCACTACGCTATAATACTATATATATATATATATATATTTTTGCAGTTCTGCTACTCGGATCAACCTTGGCACAGCCGGTACCTACTCCACAATGCCCGTGCCAGTGCGAGTCCCCCTGTGAATCCCCCTGTCCCCCTCCGTGTCCCTGCCCCCCTCCGTCCCCTTGTGACCCTTGCGATGCATCCAACGGGGGCTCGGGGATCATACAGATTAGGCCGTGCAACCCTTGCGAGCCGAGAGTTCGTTTCATAAATGGACAGGCACCCCAAAGTAAGTCTTACAATATTATTTTTCTTATTTATACAAATACTAGGGTTGGTGATAGAAGGGTGAAAATTTAGGGTTGTATGTATTTTAATGACACATACTAAAAAAATATAAATAAAAAATTTTGCCCAAAAAATAATGTTAGGGGTGGATATTCCTTAGCACTCATGGGCATGAAAAATAAATAGTAGATAGTAGATTCTCAGACCTACTGATTATGCCGTCAGGCTGGAGTTAGCCTTCAGCCGCTCCAAGTCCTTCAAAGGGTTTGGAGTGCCATCTGCACTCGCCCCCTATCGTCCGGTGAGGCTGTAAAGGCCAGCTGCATTAGAGTACTCCGAAAAAAGCGTGTTAATGTTCCCGTGCGAAGCCGGGACGGCTCGATGAAAATCGGTCAAGCCGTTTCGAAGGAGTATGGTAACTAACATTGTGACACGAGAATTTTATATATATATATAATATAATAAGATTATAAAGCTGAAGAGTTTATTCGTTTGTTTGAACGCGCTAATCTCAGGAACTACTTGTTCGAATTGAAAAAGTCTTCATTTTTGGATAGTCCATTTTTTGAGAAAGTCTTTAAGCTATATAACATTACGCTACGACCAATAGGAGCGGAGCTGCAATGAAAAATGTTGCAAAAACGGTGATAATTATTCATATTTGAGGGCTTCCGTTGCGTGCGCTGCGTAAACGGTTCAAGTCACCCAAAACATATGTATGAAAGAATTATTCCTCTTTAAATGATATAAATAAATGTCCTCGACAGTGTATGTCTATCTTTTAAGATTGACTCACTATAACCTTTTTTATTGTAATCAAATTTGGTCGAAATTAAAAAGATAATCGCGATAGTGTTTTTGAACGAAGTCACGGTCACAGCTAGTGTCTAATATACCTATATATTTGAAAGGCTCGGTTTTGCATACCGCTTTACTGTCCTATGGTCGCGGGTTCGATTCCTCGCACGGCACAAACATTTATATTCATGAGTATAATTGTTTGTATCGGTCTGGCTGTTTTATACATATGTATAGTATGTATGTATTTATGAAAAAAATCTATGTATTTGTATCAGTTGTCTAGTACCCATAACACAGGCTTTAGCTAGCTTAACTTGGGTTTAGATGGCGCTGTGTGAATTGTCCTGAGATTATTATTATTATATATAATAATCTTAGGGCAAATCACACAGTGAATTATAAATTACTAGCTACCACCCCGGCTTCGCATGGGTGTACATGTATTATACATATAAACCTTCCTCTTGAATTACTCTACCTATTAAAAGAAGCCGCTTCAAAATCCGTTGCGTAGTTTCGAAGATTTACGCATATATAGGGACACACAGCGACAGCGACTTTGTTTTATACTATGATACTAATGATGATACTTTTTGAATGAATTTATTCATTCTTTTGAACTCATCATCAATTTTAATTTCAGATACGGTTCTTATAAAGCCAGGGCAGATCAGATTCCCGACTCCACCGCCAATAGTCGTCCGACCTGGCGCGATCCGCCCTTCAACTCTTGGGCGTATCTTAGTGAGGCCAGCTCCTGTGCAGCCGCCACAGCAACCACCTATCACAGTCAGACCCCCATGTTTGCAGCCCCCTCAGCCCCCAACGATGTGCGTCAGACCCCCACCCGTGGTCCCACCACGCCCGCCTCCCATTGTGGTCAGACCACCCCCTGTGTATGTGCCTAGACCCCCACCTATCAGGGTAAGTTCACTGTGTTATTAAACATAAGGGGATCTAAACGTATGTTTCAACTTTTTACAACTTACAACCAATACTGTAGCTCAATTAATTAATTATTACTATTTCTTAAACTTAAAAAAAAAATCTCATCTCCCCTCTTAAGGAGAGGAGATGGCAACTAACCCCCGGCAGAAGCACAGTCGGCCGGGGTTCAGGGCCCCAGGGAGAGAAACCGGCGTACAATGCGGGCAGAATCTAAGAGCACCAATATCTGCATCTAGTCAAAAGTGAGTATAAAAATATAGAATCCCAACCGTCTGAGATGTTGTTCCAGACTTGTTAGGATAAGACCGTTCACCGACATAACGATTATTATTATTATCACTAGGATTTATATATTATTATTCTTAATATACGAATATTTTTGGACATTGTTATGATAATATGTTTAGAATAAATAAATAATTAAATAAATAGGCTGTTTATTCAATGAAAAGAAAGAAAGAAAAATCATGTCTGATTAAATAAATATTTATTTCAGGTGACGACCTCGGTGGTCCAGCGGTCTAGTACACCGCTTTACGACCGATGGTCGCGGGTTCGATTCCTCGCACGGCACAAACATTTGTATTCATGAGTATGATTGTTTGTATCGGTCTGGGTGTTTTCTATATATAATATGTATGTATTTACAAAAAAAAATATCTATGTATTTATCAGTTATCTAGTACCCATAACACAAGCTTTAGCTAGCTTAACTTGGGTCTAGATGGCGCTGTGTGAATTGTCCTAAGATTATTATTTTTTTCTTTTTTCCAAAAATTCTCATCTCCCCTCTTAAGGAGAGGAGATGGCAACATACCCCCGGCAGAAGCACAGTCGGCCGGAGTTCAGCGCCCCAGGGAGAGAAACCGGCGTACAATGCGGGCAGAATCTAACAGCACCGCTTTCTGCATCTTTCCCGGGAGTGAACCGCCCCGGAATCCCAACCGTCTGAGATGTTGTTCCAGACTGGTTGGGATAAGACCGTTCACCGACATACATAACGATTGGAATGATTTCGATGGACATCACCCCCCACATTTCGGTCACCTCGTGAGCCAGGTCGAGATACTTTCTCTTTTTCTCAGTTTCGGCTTTCACGAGGTTCTCGTCGTGCGGTATGGTGATGTCCACCAAAAACCCTCGAAAGTGCCCGATATATACGATATCAGGTTTGTTCGCAAGAACGGTCCTATCCGTGATGATGGAAAAATAGAGCTTGACGCTGTCGCTTTCGAGGACCGGCTGGGGCTCGTACTTATAGTACGGCAACCTCTCATTCGTGAGGCCGTATTTCAGAGCTAGTTCTTGATGGAGTATTTTGGCTACCTGGTTGTGTCTGTGCAAGTACTCAGTGTTGGCAAGAGCTGAACAACCCGAAAGCACATGTCTGAGTGACTCTCCGGGATTATTATTATTATTATTATTATTTATTTCAGGTACAACCCCAACAAGTGCAACCACCAACCCCTGACAGTCTCATCGTGAAGCCGCCCAAAATCATCGTCCCAGCCCCTCCAATAATCTGCTTCAGACCAAACCCTCCAACCTGCTTTAGAACCATCGGTTGCGCTAGCGTAACACCATACAGATCCCCATGTCAACCACCTAGCCAGAACCCTTGCCCCAACCCATGCGACACGTGCCCACCCCCCTGCGAAACAAGTCAACAGCCATGCGACCAACCCCTTTGTGACTCTTGTCAACCCCCCTGCGATCCCTGTCAATCCCCATGCGACCCTTGCCAGCCCCCTAGTGACCCTTGCCCGCCTCCCTGTTTCGGATAATGTATCATTCTAAAAATGTATATATATAATTGTATTTATTAATATGTATTTGTGATATATTTAAGTTACTTTTGTAAATATGTGTGATCGAATTAAATATACTACGGGTACACTCAGCAATGATATTCTAGTTTTATTTTTATTATAAATAAATATACCTTCATGCCTCTAACCCCAGATGGGGTAGTCAGAAATATTACACTGCTACTACTATCATATATACCAAAATGTTAGGGAATTTACTCTCTGTAAAATGAGTGGAAGCGTCAGTATGTACCTGTATGGTTCTGCGGATTTCTTGGGCTTCAGGGTCTCGAAGATATCTTCGCTAGCTTTCCAGTTTCACAGTAAGTTTCACAGTTCTAATTTATTTTAATTCACAACACAATGCGCGCGCGTCATGGCCGCCGTACAGTCGGTTCAGTACATATTAAAAAAAAAGTTTGTTTGCTACGATTCTTTTTCCGTTTCTACCTCGAATTAACGCGTATTATTTGAATATAGCAACAATTTTTCAATCACAGCTTTTGTTTATGAGTTACAGCTAACTTCCCTCATCAGGGGGAAGGGGATTGATAGTAATGGGAACTAGCAATGTACCATGTTTGGTCGACCTCCACGCGGTTCCCCCTGGAAACCATCATGACAAATTCCTGGTGAATTTGTCACGATGGGCTAACTGACCTGATGGTACGATTTGGGACGATCGAAACAATATTCTCCGTTTTCGGGCAAGATTTCGGAATGCACGTTTTTCATGGTACGAATCACACGAAATATCGATCCGAAATTTCTGAATTGCACTTCGTGGTAGACCTACTGATCTCATGTTCATCATATCATCCTCCACTGGTGCCCCGCCAGCGTAAACCGTTAGCGCAGGCGGGTGCAACATTTCTATTTCATCCCAAAAAAACTTCAACTTTTTTTATTGGACACTGAAATATATATTGTCGTTGTTTTCGATATGGCTTTTAATCCCATATTTGTGGTGATATTGATGTTGTTTAATATAAATTTCAAACGTGACGTATTTATTTTCATTATTTTTTAGTCAAATAATAAAACTGTGTATATGAAAAATTTATTCTATTATTTTAAAGTATTTTCTTCATACAGCCATAAAAATACCCAAAAACTGTTTAAGATAGTTCCAAATGATTAATATTAGTTCACTCCGTGCAAACTAGATGGCGCCACAGGTAAATGTAGATGCGCTATTAAGATTTTTTTGTTTTAATGACCTCCCTTCATTCATTCATTCATAATTTAAGAGCTACGCTCTTGTCGGTGGAGCTCTTGCCACTTTCCGCGATCTTCCATCATGCTTTTTAAATTAATTTGTTTGATGTGACCTCCCTATAGTATTTTTATTTAATAAATTCTCTATTCTTCCCTATTGAATAAATATAAATAGTTTCAATTGGAACCCTTAATAGCAGCTTTTTAACCTCACGATACCTATTTGTTCAAAAAACAGATAATAAAATGAAGAAACAAGACCTGTGTTGACCTGTGTTAAGTATCATCTGTTGACGTCATAGTGAATATACGACAATACGAAAGTAAAACATCCAGAAATATAATATATACATTTTATTACGCCAAAAGTCATATATAAACATATAAAAATAATACAATAATTTCGATATCCAATATACATAACATTTTTTTTTATTCAATTCAGAATCTTTGATAAATACTCTGTGCTGTTCCTCCATTAAATTAAATAATAGAGTAATAAAAATGACAATTAATAAGCAAGCAATTTTTTTTAGACTGGTTTTAAGGGCAAAGGAATTTACAGTTTGGAGTTTTATCTATTTATCTCTCATCACGCCAGTTACCTTAGATATGATGATAGATGGAGATAATAGATATAGGGATGTAGTTTCTGAATATGATTAATCTGTATTTGTCTGAATTGTTTTTTTATTTGCTTCATTAGTGAGAGACCGTTATGTGTAGACCGTTGAAATATAGTGTCTATTATCAGAGGAATTAGAGCTATAATTGTTTTGAAATGATCTGCCAGCGCTTCCTATACTCACATTAGAATTTGAAGTATTAACAGAAGCCGAGGAAGATCGATTACTTATAAAAAAGCTCTACCAAGGGGGAGACCCCAGTTGGGGGCGGTGTCACAGACCGTCGTAGACCCTAGGGCATTCAGGGGGGACAGACCCCCAACCGCCCCCATACCCCCAAACGGATAACCGACGGGGTAACCCCCATAACCGACTACGTTCGGCGCGCTCTCGCAGACAGTTGTGGATCCGAGACCGGCGCCAAGTCCAAGAGGCCCCACGCCGAGACCACCCAAACCGTGGGGGTAACCTAGACCTAAGGCATTAGGCACTGTATCACAGACTGTTGTTGCACCCAATCCGTTATAAGGATAACCCATGCCTATACCTGGTAGATAACCCCCCATTCCCCCCAACCCAAGACCTAACCCCCCATGACCGAGCACGTTAGGTGCTGTCTCGCAAACCGTTGTAGATGCTCCGAGGCCAGATAACGGCAGACCCAAGCCTAGACCTGGGTACCCCAGGCCTAGAACATTAGGGGCGGTCTCACAGACGGTAGTTGCTCCATATCCTGGCATGACTGGTAGGAGATTCGGCGCTGTTTCGCATACTGTAGTCTGACCCAGTGGGTTGCAGCGTGCGGCAGAAACGATAGCTAACAAAAAAAAGTTTAATATTTAATACATAGCATAGCTGGTGGTCACTCTATTCTCCCAAATTTGATATCTAATGACTGCGTATTATTGTAAACATGTACAACATTCATTTGAAAAGAATACGGGCTGAGTTTCTTTTCAGTTCTCATCTCGAAATCATTCCGAACTGACGGTAGATTTGACATATCATAAGAGTCTGTAATAGACCTACACGAATAAAGATATTTTGATTACGAGCTGAGTTTCTTGTCAGTTCTTCTCATCTCGAAATCATTCCGAACTGACGGTAGATTTGACATATCATAAGAGTCTGTAATAGACCTACATGAATAAAGATATTTTGATTTGAATACAGTAACAATACCCTGAACAATTAACACAAGGGGGAAGTAACAAGTTTTTAGTAATGGACTCCTAACCCCATTACTAGCCATGTACCATGTCAGATTGTACACGCGGTTCCCATTGGAAACAGAAATAATAGAAATAGAAATAATCTTTATCTTATAGTTTTGTAACGTAGTTGTAATGTAGATTTGCACACTAACAATGATCAATAGTTATGACCAAAACTCACTGATTAGAAATAGAAATAATCTTTATTCAAACAAACTTAATATAAGCACTTTTGAATAGTCAAGTTTTTTTATTCTACCGCTTATTATGAATGCAGATTCATCACAAGAAGAATAAGCAGAAAACTTGTGTGTTGCTCTTTTAAATAAATATTGATTTACTTATATTTAATTAACAACAAGGATTAGGCATGCGACGATCAACATAGAAACCGCTACGCACTTAATCTCTGTTCAATCAGACAACATTATCAGCGCTATGAATTTTAAGTTAGATATTTTCTACAAGAACATTATTATCGTTTATAAATTCTTCAATTTTATAATAAGCTTTTTTACAAAGAAAATATTTTATGACACATTTGAATTTTTTTGCTGGCAAATTGACTCAACCATCGTGATATTGTGGTGAATTTGTCATGATGGGTCAACGGATTTGGCCATCGACTTTTTATTCCCGTTTTAATCAATAGTTTGATTGATGACTATTTCACAAGTGACAGCTGGTTTAAACACGTTTAAAGAGTTAACCGTAAGGAATCGGTCGTTCAGAATTTATGAACGAATTTATTTACAAAATTACATGCTCTCAGTGAATATTACAATACAATACCAATGCACTCACCAAGGAATAAACGTATGCAATACATACATTAATAATAATAATCATGATAACAATAAGATCATAGATTAAAACAAAATAATAAAAAAATAGCGAAAACTAGTTCAGATTGTAGCGGTGAAATGCAAAATGAAGCTTTGAATTCGTTTAAACATTTTAACTGTGTTTAGTTCCAACTAAACTTCGTCAGTTTCCTCGGTGAAATGTGGCCTATTTATTTTTTATTTTTTATATTTATAGGTCCGGTCTTAGTTTATTATAAGAGAATATTCTAAATAATTATTTACTTTTGTTACTATATTTATTTATTTATATTTATTTACGTCACACTAAGTGAGCATAAAATATAAAATCAGATTTAGAATTCAAATATAGTATAGAAATTTAAATCATTATATATTACTAGCTGTCTCGGTAAATGTTGTTTTGCCTTAAAATAAAAGAAAAACATTTAGAGGTGGACTACCCCTAACATTTAGGGGGATGAAAAATAGATGTTGGCCGATTCTCAGACCTACTCAATACGCTCACAAGATTTCATGAAAATCGGTCAAGCCGTTTCGGAGGAGTATGGGAACGAAAACTGTGACACGAGAATTTTATATAAAAGATTTCAATTTGTATATTTAATAATAATAATCTCTCTAAATAGTAAAATATAAAAACAAGAATACTTACCAAGTAACAAGAAACAGTATTTAGAAGCCATCTTGGATCCCGACGATCTGTGCTGTCGTATCCAAAACTCCAACATTATATACGAAAAAAATCAATCACAATTGTTTACGATATCCCATCCATCACGGTCCACCGCCATCATAATGTCTTAACAAAACAAAATCATTCAATACTAATTACAAAATGTTTATAAAACAGTCGTTTTAATTAAAAATGCTAAAACGTATCTTGAAAGATTATAATTTATAAATAAGACTCGTTTGATAAAACTTCAGTAACTAAATTATTAAGAAAAGAGTATATATTGACGGCTTTGGTAGTGTAGCGGTTTAAGTAAGCACATCGCTTGAACTCCGATGGATGGACTATTGCCAGACGGTAATAGAATAGAATAGAAGAAGGCGAGGAGAAAGTGAGCGGAAAACTGCCCAATTCGACGAAGATGGAAGAAACAGAGAAGGAGTGATGAGACGGTGGTGTGGCGTGATGGGCTGGATCAATGTGCTCCCTTTGATATGGTTAGAATAGAATAGATTTATCTTATCACTACGACTGATTTAATCTTATTGCATATTTATATTTGACCCAAAAAATGAGTTCTGGTTGGTAGTTTGTATTCACACGTTTCGACTTGTAAATGTAAACTTACAAGGATTATTTAAAAGAGCAACACACGAGTTTCGTTCTTCTTGTGATGAGACAGATTTCCGAACGAATGGTAGATAAAAAACAAATTGTTATGACTATTCAAAAGTGCTTAAATTAAGTTTATTTGCATAAATGATTTTCTATTCTATTCTATTCTATTCTAGAAAAGGAAATCATTTATCTAAATAACTTACATAGAAGCAGTTTTGAATAGTCAGCACTTCTTTAATCTACCGCTCATTCGGAAAGCTGTCTCATTACAAGAAGAACGAGCGAGAAACTTGCGTGTTGCTCTTTCAAATAATTTAGTTGTAACTTTACATTTTTAAGGCGAAATGTGTTAATACAAACCAGCAGTCAGCACCAATTCATTAGATGCAAAATATTGGACACACAGCCAAATGGTTGAGTGCAATGATGACTGGCTCATCCGTCATACTCGTTAACGGGTGCTGCTTGTGGGGACTGGTCTGTTCGTGTTACGAGCACTGATTAGACTATTTCCTTTTGACAAAATTGGAATAGCATATGCTGGTGGTCACTCTATTCTTCTAAATTTGAATTCAAAATAGAATCTATGTTTTTGTAAATATGTACAAGCTCATTTGAAAAGAACAAGAGCTGAGTTTCTTGTCTCAGCTCGAAAGCATTCCGAACTGATGGTAGATCTGACGTATCTTAGAGTCTATAACAGACCTACAGTAGCAGTGCTACAGATCCAAGCAACTGATAATAGCCCAAACCCTGGTGGGAGAGGGGATTGTTACTAATGTGGACTAAAACCCCATTACTAGCAATGTACCATATCAGAAAACTCCACGCGGTTCCCCCTGGAAACCATCGTGATAAATTCCTGGTTTATGTATTTATCATGATGTGCTAACTGACCTGACCTCGTGTTCATCTTATCATCCTCCACTGGTGCCCCGCCAGCGTAAACTACTAACGCAGGCGGGTGCACCATTCCATTATCATCCATTAAAAAAACAGCCCAAATCCTCTCCACACGACGTTAACGCTTTTTCGTGACCAAAAAATCCTAATAAATCTATATTAATAAGGGTGTATTGAATTATTAATATAGAACTTTCACTTAAAAAAAAACAGTCCACATCTAACTAAATATTACCTCTTATATTAACAACAATCATCTGCTTCTTCTTTATCCCATTTATTTCTGGTCGTCGTAATGTTTTTCTCTTCCATTCATCCCTGTTCGCAGTCATCTCGTTATTCACTCCCTTTCTTATCATATCTTTCACATAGTCCATCCATCTCTTTTTCGGCCTTCCCGTGCCCTTATAACCATCCACATTCATGTGTAACTTTTATATTAACTAACATTCTAAACTAATACTTTTCACCTGGATCACACTCCCTTGTATGTAATGACTTTATAAATATCATTGTTTTGAACTTTCTCCAAAGGATAATAAAGGTCAATAATATTTCGTTGTCTGACATTTCAGTAATCGAGCGCTTTAAACACCCTTCAACAAGAACAGTTCCCCCAAACGACATTTTGGCGCGAATATTAATTTAAAACGATAAAATTATGACAGTCGGCCATCTTGAAAAAAATATAAATTAGCGGGTAAACGCCATTTTTTAATGTAGATAAAATATATAATGGCCGACGTAGTTAATTTATTAAAGAATTTTAGGTTATTTTTCTTTTTGACCTTATAATAATTTATATATATTTACTATAAGGCCCGACCACGCGTTGCTGTGGCTAAGGTTAAATAATATTGCGACTATTAATTGAGATGTAAGCTATCCTATCTTCAAGTTGGATTAAATTCGGTTCAGTAGTCTAGTTCTATGTCATAGTACGTCAGGTATTTTAGTAGATTGTGTGCCACTTATGTATAGTGAATATAATTCGCATCAGGTGGTGAGTCCAGCGGTGGCCAGTCCACGTCCGCCATCACGTCCTGGTAAGTTGCAGCATGTTTCCTAAATAAGTATGGCTAATGACAAATCGTCGGAGCCGGAAAAACAAATCAAGGGCACTTAGGGTTAATAAAAAAATCAAGTATGAATAACACGTTGGGGGTTAATGTGTAACATTATATCAAAAGTGGTTGGAGGAGACACAGCATCAAATAGTTTCTGAGATGATCACACGCAAAGGCAAACGCAAGAAATAGAAGTAATCTTTATTCAAATAAACTTAATACAAGCACTTTCGAATTCACCACTCAGCCGGAATGCAGACTCTTAACAAGAAGAATGAGCAGGAAATTTGCGTGTTGCTCTTTTAAATAAATGTTCTGAATTAAATATTTAAGAATTTTGTATGAATATAAACTACCAAATAGCGAAGTTGACATAAATAAATAAATTGTTACTTGAGTAACACAATACTTACTTAAGTAACTAATAGTTCTACTATATTTGAGTAACTAGTTCAGTATGTCAAACAACGTGACACGGAATTTTTATATATAAAGATTTATTAAAATAATGATGTTGCATATGATAATGGTATTTCTTATATAAACATAATATTAACTTTTGACTACCTCCCGTGCTGGTAAAAACTGGGTTACTGCATGCTCTTGTTCGGTTTATAGTAACGCTACATTTAAATATAAACTCTATTGTATCTACTTACAGTTAATTTTTGCAATTATTTAATGTTCACATACAACGACGGGCAGTTGCTTACCTGAAAACATAAAACAATTATTAATTAAATACTAGCTACCCACCCCGCCTTCGCACGGGTGTACATTTATTATATTTATATACACCTTCCTCAAGAATAGAATAGAATAGAAAATCATTTATTCAAATAAACTTACATTGAAGCACTTTTGAATAGTCATAACATTTTTTTTTAATCTACCACTCATTCGGAATGCTGTCTCATCACAAGAAGAACAAGCAAGAAACTTGTGTGTTGCTCTTTTAAATAATTTATTCTTACTTACAATTTAAGTTTAAGTGTGTGAATACAACCTACCGATTAGCACTAATTCAATTAAATAATAAAATAGAAAAAACATTCAATACACAACAACTGGTTAAACAATTAATAAGAGAAAATAAGTCATAGTGATTAGAGCAGACCAGTCCACACAAGCAGCACCCGTTCACGAGTATGACGGATGAGATCAAGAGTCACTCTATCTATTAAAAAAAAACGCTTCAAAATCCGTTGCGTAGTTTTCAAGATTTAAGCATACATAGGGACGGACAGACAGCGACAGCGACTTTATTTTATACTATGTAATGATATATTTGATTTTATTCTAATTAATTCTCTGGAGAGCCACCTTAGGTTGCCACCTAAAAAACTCCGATTAAAAAAAACAGCCCAGACGTATACAAACAATCATACTCATGAATACGTTTGTATCATGCTAGGAATCGAACCCACGACCATCAAAAGTAAAGCTATATGAACCACTAGACTACCGTGTATCACGAATATATTAATTTCTATTTACAAAACATGAAAAACTCGTATTTTATAAATCGAGCGCGAAGTTTTTACGTAGCTCTTGAAAATATTTAATAATCACAATTATATCAAACAATTCATTAATCATTAATCAAATGATTGCAGTTCAATCAAGGTTTTATACATACATTATATTATACAGTGATTCGATATGTTACTGGCAGGGATAATCGTATTTCTAGGTAATATATTCATTTATTTATTCACTATCTACTCGCCCCGGCTTTGCACGGTGTACATGTATTATATATATAAACCTTCCTCTTGAATCACTCTATCTATTGAAAAAAACCGCTTAAAAATCCGTTGCGTAGTTATAAAGATTTAAGCATACATAGGGACGGACAGACAGGTACAGCGACTTTATTTTATACTTTACTAGCTACTCACCCCGGCTTCGCACGAGTGTACATGTATTATATATATAAACCTTCCTCTTGAATCGGTCTGTCTACTAAAAAAACCCGCTACAAAATCCGTTGCGTAGTTTTAAAGATTTATGCATATATAGAGACAGAAAGCGACAGCGACTGTTTTACACTATGTAATGATACTTTTTTGAATGCATTTATTCATTCTTTTGAATTAATGATTAATGATGTAATATTCACCACCACAAGTTTTTCATAAAATGTAAAAAAATATTATTTGTTTTTAAATTATATGTAAAAAAATATTATTTGTTTTTAAATTATATTTAATAAACGGCAATTGCTTTAAATTTCTCGTACCCTAAGCCTACATGCTAGTAGGAATCAAAATCCAGCCACTTCAGAGTGAACAAACAGACAGACGAAAATTGTAAAAAATATTATTTCGGTGTATGTACTGTATTTATATTCATATGCGTGTAGTAAAGAACTGGTATTATGTTTCGCAGCTTCATTCTTTGCGATTTCCGTTTAACATAATGTAGTAGCGCCATCTACTCT